TTGTTAAGAATTTTTGCTAATGGCTTGTTACCGGGGAAGTGATTTGTTATTAGATTTAGGAATATTCTGCCAAATTTTTTTTCTAACGGTTTTGTTTTATGGTGGGGTAAACCAATTTCTGTTTTTCCGTTTTGCTTGTAGTGGTATTTATCTGCTTTTTTAGTACGTTGTTATATGGCTTTTTGTCGTTGAAAAATGTCTGTGTAAGATGAGTTATCAGACTACCGATGATGGATTTAGGTGGATGGTTGCATATATATATATATATATATATATATATATATATATATATATATATATATATATTATTATTATTATTATTATATAATTTATAGTTCTGTTATTCTACATCGAGCACTCAGTTGTGAATATGTGACGTGCTAGACAATTTTTCTCTCCTGTATCTATCTTGCATATCTATATGTCTACCATTCGTCCATGCTTAGAATATTGCTGCCACATATAGTGCGGAGCTCCTGCTTTATATCTAGAGCTCCTTGAGAGAATCCAAAGACGAATCAGCAATATTATTAGTCCTAATCTAGCGTCTCGGCTTCAGTAATTTCCCACACCCGTAAAGTTGTCTCGCTGTGTCTTTTATTTAAATATTTTCTTGGTAATTTTTCGGAAAAAAATCTGCTGTCCTCCTGATTACACTTCCTTTGTTCCCAGTCTTTAGTATATTTTCTAATTCTTACACACCCAGCAAACACCTATGTCTCAGTTGCTTGCTTGGGATGAACTTCCGATATATATATATATATATATATATATATATATATATATATGCAAGTATGGGATTGGTTTATACGGAATAAATTCCAATAACCCAAAAAATACTATTCTTAAAAGTGCTCAATACAGAGTAGAGCAAGTATAATTTATTCGAAAATTATAGCATAAATATGTTATAAAATCACTACAAAAATAGCCATTTTAGTTCAACACTTCTGGTGTCTTATCAAGTGATGGTGTTGACGTACAACACCATTACTTGATAAAACACCGAATAAATATATATATATATATATATATATATATATATATATATATATTCAACATCATCACTTGATAAGACACCGAGTGTGTTGAAACAAAATGGCTATTTTTGTAGTGATTTTATAACATACTTATGTTAGAATTTTTTTTATAAATAATAATTATATATATATATATATATATATATATATATATATATATAGATAGATAGATAGATAGATAGATAGATATATGCTAACTGTTTCTACGCCCGGGTAGCTAAAATATCGTTACGGCATAATAAAACACAAGTGGTTTCATTTCTTGAACGCCCGGTGTGCCTTGCTAACAGGAAGTGTAAGAAGAGTTTTCAAAACTTCTAGGCAGTTTTAAAAGGAAATCGCGAATGTCTTCACCCATGAGAACTTATTCATTCGTTTGCGGACAATTATGTCCGTTCACCCATTGTTAGAAAAGTGGAACTAATTTACGAACACGCTGACGATTCCGTTTCCAAGTTTTTGTTTTATTTTTGTTCCTAGGTGTCATGATCGACGGTAATAAAAGTTTTCTTCAGCTGCCGATGGAAAAAAACAAATTGCAAAAAATAAAAATGGGGAGAGCAAAAGAATTTTTTCTGTGACGCTTTGCGAACAAAGAATTCTTCGGTCTATATGCGTATTTAGTTGTAAGTCTGACTAAAGTTTTTTGTTTTTTTTTTTCATTTTATTTTTTTTCCAGTTCGAACTATTTTTTTTTTGTTTTGTTTTCCGGGAAGTATTTGAACATAAGCTGACTAAAGAGATCTGAGAGGTATTATGAAAGAGTTTTACTTTTGTCTGGATATGATTATGTTTTTGCGCATGCAATAAAATAGAAAAGACACACAACTACGTAGACAATAATACAAAGGGATTACTGCCCATGGCAAATAAGCCTAAACAGAGCAAGTCAGTTAGACCTAGGTCTCTTTGTGCTATTTTGCTGTTAGTATATATATATATATATTTAGTTTAATTGCAAAATTAAATTCGTGGCTTTTAGCTTCCATTTTTGAAACATGGTTAGAACTGTGTAGCGGAAAAAACATATTTTAAATCAATTAATTTATAATATATATATATACTGCATAATAGGGAAATCAAAATTACCTGTTAAGTATAGACCATTTCCACCAACTTATGTACGCCGGCTTTATTCAACTCAAAACGTTGAGCTGAATGAAGCCGATATACAGACGTTGTGAAAATAGTCTATACTCATGAGGTAATTTTGATTTACCTGTTATTTAATATATATATATATATATATATATATATATATATATATAAACGTTCTTATCCGTTAACAATAACACATTTCTAAAAAACATTTCGATTCGTATTTAATTTTTCGTGTCCGCTATTTCCTGGATGTAATAAAAAAAAAAAATAATAATTTCCATGCCTGAGGATGGCTGTATGTACAGCCGAAAGTACTAGCAGATTAGAAAAAAATATTATACAACTTGAAGTTATTAAAAACAAGGTTCATAACATTCGTCGAATGATTCGTAATTTAATGCAAATTTAAAAAATTGTTTCGAAAAAGTTTTTCGCCATTTATATCATTAAGTTTACTAATCTACTTTTTGTATGAATGATTCATGTAATATATATATATTTATGTGTGTGTGTGCAGGTTTAGTTGACTGATGAAAGATATTAGAAAAATTAAGAAATGTTTGCTAATAATAATAATAATAATAATATTTATTATATATTATTAGGCCAATATTCAAACTAGAATAACGAAGATAAAAATATTAAAAACAAATTAAAAATAGATCCATTGAATAAAATACAGGTGGATCCTAGTAATATCATGTTAAAACTGATCCACAGAGAACTCACATGTATTTATTATAATAGAGCATATATTTTATACAGCAAAAATTCAAAATTACCTCATATGAGTATAGTCTATTTTAAACCGGCACAAACTTATATAAGGTTGTGCCGGTTTGAAATAGATTATAGCGACATAAGGTAGTTTTGGATTTTTGCTGAATAATATATATATATATATATATATATATATATATATATATATATATATATATATATATATTACAAAAGTTTGAAGTCATCCCCAGGATTAGCATGGGATTAACTTCACAGAAGAGTTAAAAAACAAAAAATTAAGAAGTCATTTTAGAGTCATTGTAAAAAGAATGGGATCAATTATCAAACTTATACTTTGAGAAACTTGAAATGAATGGCAAAAATTTGTCCAGTAGTAATCAAAGCTAAAGGAGGATATTTAGATTATATATATATATATATATATATATATATATATATATATATATATATATATATATATATAGATAGATAGATAGATAGATAGATAGATCTAAAGAGAGGGGTAACAGACGAGAGAAGGTGGGAGATTAAAACTTAACAGAGAGAAGTTTTAGAGAGGTGAGTTGAAGAGGTTTAAGTGAGAGAAATATGAATGTTGCCGGATGTCTAATACATTAAAGATGTTACCGGAAAGGATACATTTTGTGGTGACATACACACACACAATAGACGAACTAATCTTAAAGATCAGAAGATTCTGTTACCCCTCTCTTTAGCTCTAACATTCGTCCCACACTCTCATACTTACACTCTCTCTTAATTCTATTTTTTATTTCCGGAGTTGTTTTTTCTGTTTTCTTTTTGAATTTGTAGGTCTGACGAATTGGATTGTATTTACGATTGCAATTGAATAAATTATGACCATGGAATATTAGTGTTTAAGCCTTTTATATATATATATATATATATATATATATATATATATATATATATATAAAAAAAGATTTAAAATGTCGCTACACATGTTATAGTAATTTCTGTGTAGCGAAGAAACCATACATTTTTTATTTTATATATATATATATATATATATATATATATATATATTATAAATTAACTGATTTAAAAGCGAAGAAATCACATTTTAAATCAGTTAATTTATAATATTTATGTTCTGTAAATTTACAGTGAGCACTGTTTTGTAAAAATATCAATAAGAACACAGGATTATATATCTTACTGTTCTTTCTTTTTATTAGAATATATATATATATATATATATATATATGTATATATATATATATATATATATATACATACATACATACATATTTATATACACACACACACACACACATATATATATATATATATATATATATATATATAGTTATATATACTAATTACGAGTTACAGTTGGTGGGTAAAAAGAGAAAATAGCAAAAATTTCCGGGATCACGTGTTTCGTCTCTCTAAATCCGACGAATTCTTTTCGGGCGATGAAATGCGTAACGGAGTTTCTATCGATAAATAGACTTGCGCTACTACAGTTCCACTGCCACCACCAATATATATATATATATATATATATATATGTATATATGGTGAGAGAGAGAGAGAGGGGGGGGAGAGTGAGGGAGAGAGAGAGAGAAGACGTATTCGTCTTTTACTATTTCCTACAAAATTGTTTTGTTGGCAAACATTATCGGGATGCAGTGTGAATCAGATAGGCTTCAAAGATAGAGAATTATTTGGTTGACGCAGGTCAAGAAAGGCCACGCCCTTTGTGGACTTCCACCCCAGCCGACACCGACTTTCTGTCCGACGATTAACTTATCAAACAACGAAGTCCGAATAAAAACTTGCACTGACAAGTGTCTCCATTTAAGAATTTCACACTTGAGCTATTTCGACGATTGGACATTAGTTAGATTACTGGCCCAATTGGGCTGGGGCTTTTGTCTGCATCGTCTGCAGCTGATAAAAGCCTGGGTTGCAATTTTTTTGTCCTGTGTTTCGATTCTGAATTGTTGTACGTCTGATTCTTTGGAGGTTAGGCTTATATTTCGGCCTCTTTACAAAGTTGGTGCCTCTGCAGTGTATGCATTGACAAATAGACACAGACATGCACGCACACACACACACACTCACATACACACACACACACACACATAAATGATGCGAAAAAAGTTCATATCTATATTTCCATCTAAATCATTCCATTCATATCTATCTATTCGTCTGTCTGTCTCACTCTGTTCATATCTATCTATCACTGTATATTCATATCTATCTATCTATCTATCTATCTATCTATCTATCTATCTCATTCTCTTTATATCTATCTATCTAATTCATATTTATATCTCTTTTTGTTCATATCTATCTATCTATGTATCTCATTCTCTTTATATCTATCTATCTATCTCAGTCTGTTCATTATCTATCTGTCTATCTATCTATCTATCTATCTATCTATCTATCTATCTATCTATTTATCTATCTCATTCTCTTTATATTTATCTATCTATCTATCTAATTCATATTTATATCTCTTTTTGTTCATATCTATCTATCTATCTATCTATCTATCTATCTATCTATCTCAGTCTGTTCATTATCTATCTATCTATCTATCTATCTATCTATCTATCTATCTATCTATCTATCTATCTCAGTCTGTTCATTATCTATCTATCTATCTATCTCATTCTCTTTATATTTATCTCTCTATCTAATTCATATTTATATCTCTTTTTGTTCATATCTATCTATCTATCTATCTATCTATCTATCTATCTATCTATCTATCTCATTCTCTTTATATCTATCTATCTATCTATCTATCTATCTATCTATCTATCTATCTATCTTATTCATGTTCCTATCTATTTTCGTTCATATTTATCTATATATTTATTTCATTTTCTATCTATCTATCTATCTATCTATCTATCTATCTATCTACTATTCATATCTATATAAACACCGAATAATTTTACGATTCCCTTCAGTAATGTCTGATTTCTCCCCCACCCCTTCTTCTTTTGTCACACCCACTTCACTTGCCTCCGACTTCCTTAACGATGAAGTTCATAGCCTGTCAGCAAAATTCCTAATCAAAATTCCCAATAAAAACGACAAGAGTTTCATTGTCACTTGGAAATCGAACTAGCTCCTCACAAGTTTTACCCAGCTGTTGAATCTCCGTCCTTTGTAGGCAAGTTCGCTATGTTGAGAACCTTTAAAATTTTAATCGGTGGCATGAATTATGCGCGAACAAGTTTTTAGGCACCCAACATACCTCCGACTTTTTTTTTTTTTCAAGAAAGGTTATTATTTTACTGGAAGATACCATTTCTTTAGTATTTTCAAACCGGTCTCTACAATATTAACCTTTTAAAGTCCAAAGTCAATCCTACTTAGCCTCATAGTATGCATTTTTTACAGTCTCCTATGATGTTCATGTTGTGGAGTGATTTCGCAGTGGAGGCTTGTATTTGTACTAAGTCGGTCCTAAAATAGGTTCGACGTTCAAAACGTTAGGAACTTGATATAATAGGTCTTACGCATAGTAATCTAGTTGTGGTCGCTGATACTTTAGTATTCGACTAACTGTCGTCCGACATCGACTCACTGACTGACCGACGATATTCTGTCACACCCCCCCACGAGGTCGTCATGTGGCACAAGGCCTTTTTAACGTGGAATCTCCGAGCCCGTGGGATCTCCGAGCCCGTGGGATCTCCGAGCCCGTGGGATCTTCGAGCCCGTGGGCTCGGCCAAAAATATGCCCATTGAACCCGTATAAACGGGTTCAGGGTCGGTTTACCTCCCCGAAAGAGAATCTGCCCTTCGGCGTAGCCTTTTTCGGGTTCCTCTCCCACCCCCCGCCCGAAGGCAGAGAGTTCAACCGATCAGCCAGTCGACCGACTGACCGACTCGTTACTCATACTACTCTTACTTATTATAGGTAGGAGAGTCTATTAACTATAGAATAAGTGTGTTTCACCATAACAGTTCATAAAACAAAATTAATTCAATGACCCTCTACCTTGACTGGCTCTCGTTGCTTGTATTTGCTGAACAACAATCTATAAAAAGGAGATATTACTACTGAAATAATTTCTCAATCGACAGTATTTCTTATTAGTATATAACTTCTACACAGGTTTATTGTAATTTTCAAGACGTAATTTTCAGTTGACAGTATGAATACAATAGCTTTTATTTCTAAATTCTTCCGGTTGGTAAGGACATTTTGTTTACATTATTAACAACAAACAAAATGTCAGTATCTGTCTATATTTCTGAGATGAGGTATTATGTACACTATTTACATTATTCGAACTATCAACCCCATCTTTGTTGCCATATTTATCACAACGTTTCGGCGGTTGTACGCTCCGGCCTTCTTCAGGTGGTTGGAATGTCAAACTGAACCCTTTATTTCGCTCGCTGGGGTAAACTGTTCTAGTTCCACGTGCCATGTCTAATGGATGTCAGTTATCAGTTATTTCCTGTTAATTCCCCCTCTCCAAGTTCGCCACCGCCTTAACCAGGTATTGAACTCACACTCTTTGGGTCCTGTCACCGGATCTAACTAACACTGCGCTATGTGTCCTTGAAAGTTGTGTTAAATATGGCAACAAAGATGAGGACAATAGTCCGAATAATGTAAATAATATACATAATCCCTTATCTCAGAAATATAGACAGATACTGACGTTTTGCTTGTTGTTAATAGTTACTTTGTTTTTAATATTTAATGTTTTAAATTTACTAAGATAGATCAAGACCAAATTTTTAATCTCCAACCCGGGTTTTGCAGAAAAATCATTAAAGCAGAAGGTGAGTACGATTTTTTGCAGAAACAAAAGCAAAGTTACACACGAACAAAGTTTTTACTGGATGAGCTGATATTCTTTGCACTTAACGCAAAACAAAGCTCATGTTACGAGGTTTATGTAGAGTGCTTGATAGTTTTCTTGTAACATTGGCTTCACTCAAAAATGACAAAAACTGTTGAAAATCGGGTTTTTCTTACTTCTTAACGTAAAAACTTGTATAACTTCCTCATTTTTATCTAACTTTCTTCAAAGATCTCACAAAAAATTTGATATCATGCAAGAAATAAGATAGGTTGCAGACTTGCTTGCTTCCTCGCGTATAACGAAAAACCACGAAAAACTATTCTTCAAAAAAGCTCGATTTTCGACCATGCATTCCAAATTTGCCACGTAAATTATATATGACACACAAAGTTTCTTGATTTAGATTATTTCAAGCTAATTGGACAAAATCTGCGACAAAGTAGACCATGAAACTAGATCGGCTTTTGCCATTTAGCTAAATAGATTCATCATATGATTCCCTCCTAAATTGGCATTCAAACAACCTTTGATGCAAAGATGGCTTGAGAAGGTTTATTGGAGCGTTAAAAGAGATCAAATTTTCGAGGACCTCTTATTCCCACCAGCTTTACAGTAAACGTGCGAAGAAGGAGGGGGGCGTCCAAGCGTTTGCGCTTTTATTTGAATCAAGCTCTGACCCTTCATAACTGTTTTTGTTTGGTTATTAGATTTGTGACCAATGCCATAATATGTGAAAGTTATTATGGCAATAGAGAATTTGCTGAATATCTATTGTTGTGTGAAGCATATAGTCCTTTCAGCTTCCCTGTTAAAACAATTAGATCTATAGATGGTAAGCAGTTGCTGCAACAGCATACCCCCAAGGGCATACATGAGCAGTGACCACTTGGCAGCTTTTGAATCATCCTTCACGGGTATATGCTGAGCTCACTGAGATCATACAATGCCAACCAAGCAAGCAAGCAAGCGATGGAAAAGATTCTATCCACTGAGAAAGTGTGTGATGCAGTTGCAAAATTGAACAATGAGAAGTCAGCAGTCATGGATCGTCTACACGAAGAAATTATGAAATGTGGTCGCGAAAGCTTTCATGATTTTTCTATCAAATCTGGTGGAGTTGGGATTGAAAATTTGGTCTTGACCTAATTTAACAAATTTGAAACATGTCTGTAGAATTTCATCGAAATCAGTCGAGAAATGTGGATGTGCATAAATAGCATACACACACACACAGACATCTGTTTTATAGATATAGATATGTTGTAAGTAATTTTCGTTTAATCCGTGTACAATTTTGTAATTTAAAATAGTCCGTATTGTCATTCGCAGATAGTACTTAGTGCGACTCGACATCCGAATACCTCTAGCCAGGATTGAAACCCATCGAATTTCCTATCACTGAGCTATTTTCACTCGACAGAATGAGTCATCCAAATCTAGCGTATTTCTTCTACAAATGTAAACAAATGCCAAGCAGCCATAGTGCTCCATTCATTTTACTGAAGAGCTTCGCATTAACGCATGTGGCTGTTGTTTTTAGAATTAGCTTGTCATTCACTAGTGCGCAATTGAAAGTATATTTTCAAGAACTAAATTTTGTATATATATATATATATATATATATATATATATATATACTTACATATTCATAAATATTTGGAGCGATCGGTTGTAGATTTCTTAAGACGGTGATATTGTGGTGACAAATTTCTACAGAGAGAACCACTATATCATACGAGGAAAAGTTTTTTTAGTCACCAGCAGAAGTCGATTTATTATACGATCCTTGTAAACCCTTCATTTTCCGGTTTGAATGACGGTAATTTCTGTCAAAGAAAGTCTACTGTTCCCGCTCTGTTGGGCGAAAGACAGCGATCTCTTCTGTACAATTAGCGACGCTTCGTTTTATCGTCTGCGAACTTGCAATTTGTCATTTGTTACGGCTTCCGTGTTATTCTAACACCTATTCAAACGAAGAATGGAAACATTGCAATTTTGCGAAACGAGATATTGTTTTATGGTTAATAATTTTGACATAAATCCGATGGGAATTTTTGTCAGTCTCGAGTCTGTTATTAATTCGGAGCTAGTCTTTTCTACATTTTATTGATATTACTTTTTTTTCTTTTCTTTTTTTTTTTGTCCCAACTTTTTGGGGTCGAATGCCTCCGAAAGTCAGTAGTTTGAAATAAAACTAAGGTATCTTTGATTTATTTGAATTCCAAGATTAAGAATATTTTTTTAATATTTATTTTTGTCGTGTCTTTACGTCTGATCTTTTTATTTTTTTTATAACTGTCTTGACCGAATGATCACTGATGGTTCAAATTGTGTTTCAAATTCTTTTTAATGTCATGACTCTTCAGGATGTGGGTGATCAAGACACATTTCGTTTCTTTATTATCTGTAAATACATTCTTGATAAATATAATGGAATGGTTTCCTATTCCTTTCATTGGTTTGGAATTCAGAGTTATAATTCTCTTAGACTAATTGCCAACCAAGTCTAGAGAGACAAGTCTGCCCTGCTATTTAACGTATTTGAGTATCATATCCATTCAGAGCCTAACCGACCACATCTTCTTTAATTATCTCTGAAATGTCAAGCAGCTTTTAGAAAAGATTATGGAATGGTTTCCTGTTGCCTTCTTCCCGGTTTTGAATACAAATTTTTCCTTCTCTTAGACTGGTTGCCATCCCAGGATACAGAGTCTAGTCTAGCCTTTTAATTAACCCAATTTTACTATCATATCCCTAAAAGTTATAGGTGATAATGGCTCTCCACAAATTCATTTTTCATTATTATCTGTGAATTGCCAATGTCATGACCCTTTAGGATGTACGCGATCATGGCACCCCCCCATGACACGGACGCTGCTTGCGACCACCCCACAAGCGGGTGATCAACAAACGCTCGATCGCTTTCATACGTTTCCTGTAAAGAGGAAGTACAGCCAAGCGGTAAAGGATATGGAGCAAGACGTAAGTGGCACACGCCTCAGCCCTACTCTTTAAGGACAACCACCTTTCGAAGCCAAGTCCGGACCGACGCTCTGACTTTTGCCTGTACTTCTGACCAATTCTTCTTCAGCTGGAGTCCGGACCCAAACC